CAGGAAGGCACGGAGGAGTCTGAGCTTCACCAAGGCACCAGTGTGATGGCTGAGCCTCATGGACATGTCTGGAGGAGGGCAGCAAGCCAGCTCCTCTCCCACTGCCTGTCCACTCCTCCCAGAGCATCTCCTGGGCAGGGCAGCCTGGACCAGGGCCTGGTTAGGCAGATTGAGCAGCTTGGTGTAACACCTGTCAATGATGCTAATCAGAGAAGGCATCTTTTTATCATGGATCTTACTCTTGGTGAACTTATCACAAGTTAAGTTTGTGCCTTGCATGGCTGTGCCAGAGGCACTCGGAGCCTTTATCAGAATATCCCAAAGTGGGAAGGGAAAGATTTCTTTAACCACAGACAAGGGAAGAGAACTGAGGGGCAGAACAAAAGACCAAAGGATCTGGAAGGTATCACAAGTGACACCAGCAAAAACTCCTGGGACCTGCAGAGCAGGGGTGAGATGGAGTGGGAGGCACAGGAGATGGAGTGAGAGGATGTGACCAAGCTGTGGATCTTCCTGCTGGGGCTTTCTGGGCTAATTTTCAGCACATAGCCAGGCTGTGCAGCCCTTCACTTGTGCTGGATGAATCAGCACTCGGCAGTAGCAGGGTTAAACACCGGGTTGTTCTGTCTCCCCACTGAGGACACTCCCCCTCGTCGCTGGCTGCAGAGGAAATTTTAATCAACACCGTGATAAGAGCCCTTCAGTCCTGCTGGGAGTTATCAGCTCCTTTGTTTGTAAATGTAACTGCTCAATACCAACACACTTGGCTCTGGGTTCCTGCACTTCCCTGCTCCACAGCCCTTTGGCTCAGGCTGCTCCCTCCCTCCAGCTACCCCTTAATCAGGGTGTTAAAACAGCCCAGGTTGTGCTGAAAACACGGATCAACCCTGAGCTGTTTCCTTTCTACCCCTGCTGTCACTGGGAGAGAGGGTTCTGAATTTGAGGCGGTTTTAAGCTTCAAGGAGTAGCTGATGAATATCAGAGCCTGGTAATTTAGCCCTCTGCAGAGTACAGACAATATATTCATAATCATTCTATATGGAGATGAGCTAATAATGCAATCAGGCTTATAAATCAAACCCAGGAGACATGTTGGTGCTGTTTGCCTGAGCTTCTCGAGCGATCTATCCACAGGAAAATGTCTGTCTGACTCTTAGATGGGGCCAATTAACTTATAAAGATGCTCTCTCCTCTCACAGTGGCTCATTTGTTTACTTGGGCTCTGCCAGCTGGTGCTATTTTCATTCTGGGAGAGGGGGCCTGGTTGGTAAGAGATTTGTTGGACGCCTGGGCTGCAGAGGAAGGGAAACTGCCTCAGGAGAGGCAATGCCTTCATCAGCAGCACAGCAAGGAGACTGGGGTTTAATAAACAGCTTCCCTGTGTGAGCTGTCCCAGGCTCCAGAGCCTGTCCTTTCACTCCCATAAACGTGGCTGCCTCCTTTTGTCCCTGTTTTATTGAGCAGGGAGGGATAGCTGGAGCTCTGGTCATGCCCAGGGTGAGGCTGTGTGGACACAGGAGCACATCCCACACTCTGGCAGATTGGGAATCAGCACCAGTGGGGCTGGGAGGGTGATGCCAGCACCCAACAAAGCAGCTCTGCTCTTGCTTTGCTTCTTTCTGGCTTGGCCACATCCTGCCCCACGCCACGTGCTGGGAGCAGGATGGGATCTGCTTTGACTGAGCAGGATTTAAGGTGTGCCGGCAGCCAGGCAGGGCTGGGAGCAAAGGGACAAGGAGTAAAGGGACACAGCTGGAGCAGGGCCAGCACGGAGCTGAGCTGAGGTCGTTGCTGACACCAGAGGGTGGTGTGGTCTCACGCTGGAAATTCACCGCTGGAGACACATCCCTGCTCTGGCACGTGTGTAAGGAGACAAGCTCACATTTATTTTTTTCATAGAGATTTTTAATGTTTATTTTTTAACAGACTCGGTTTAAATTTTTGCTTTCTACAATAATTCAATGTAAAAATCCCAGTACAATATACAACAGTTTGAACATTTGGAATAAGAAATCCAGCTTGGGGAGACACGTAAGTTCAGCTAGTTCCTAACACAGGTAGCAAATTCCCTCCACCCTCCCCCAGATTTCCCAGCCAGGAAGGCATATGGGCAGGAATGCTTCACAAATGTCACACCCACCCTGTAAAGACACTGGGTGCTGTGTCCCTGCAGTGGGACATCCCCTAGGAAAGGGCATTTTCCCCTCCATGGGACGGCTGGGAGCCTCCAGCATGGCAAGGCAGTTTTCAGGGAAGCAAGGCTGGCTGGCCCTTGTGCGAGTGACATGGGATGCTCTGAGAAGTTCCTGCATGCAGGTCCTGCAGGGTTTGGAGCTCCCTTGGCATGGAGAGGAGACCTGTCCTCCCCTTGGCAGCACTGCCAGCAGCCTGGTGCCCTACTGCAGCTGTAAGGCTGTTGGAAGGGGATGGCCCTGCAGGGGCAGAAAACAAGGATGATGAAAGATCCCTGGCTCTTGGGTCTGAGGGGACATCTCAGGGATCACTCACTGGCCTGGGAGCTGGCAGCTTTTTCAGGAAGCCTCTTTGGGTTGGTCCATGGTACTCAAGCAGCCTGGGAATAGTCCTGTTTGAACAGCCTGGAGTGGTCCTGCTTGTGCAACATGGGAAGGTTCTGCTCCAGCTACACTGGATGATCCTGCCCAAGCAGCCTGGAGTGGTCCTGCTAAGTGACATGGGGTGGTCCTGCTTGGGCAACATGGGAAGGTTCTGCTCCAGCTACATTGGATGATCCTGCCCAAGCAGCCTGGAGAGGTCCTGCTTGAACAGTTTGGGGTGCTACTGATCAAGCAGGATGGGATGGTCCTACTCAATCAGCATTGGATGGTCCTGCTGGAACAGCATGGAATGGTCCTGCTCAGGCAGCATGGGATGGCCCTGCTGGAGCACAGTGGGATGGTCCTTGTTGAGCATGGGATGGTCCTGCTAGAACACGGTGCGATGGTCCTTGTGGAGCATGGGGTGGTCCTGCTAGAACACGGTGCGATGGTCCTTGTGGAGCATGGGGTGGTCCTGCTTGAGCAGTGTGTGTGGTGGTCTGCTTGAGCACCATGGAGCAGCTGCAAGTGGCAGGGATAGTTCTTCATGTCCTACAGCATCCCAAGCAATGCATTCAAAGCCATTCCTGGCCTTTCTCGCCCCTCTTGCAAATCCTTCACTGCTAGAAGTGATCCTAGGGGAATCTAGTCAAGCTGCATGTTCCACATCAGTTATTGCTAATGTTAGACTGGGACATTGGTGACTTTATCTGGCTGAAACCTTTATCTGGTTACTGAAACCTTCCAAGGGCAGAGGTTATCCCCTTTTCCCCCATGACCAGTTCCAGCTGCACTAGCCCTAGGGAGAAGTGTTTTCTGATGTCAGGAAGAGCCCTTCCTATATGCATCAGGGGTGGCTGAGCTGGTAGTAGCTTTCCTGGGTCAGTAAGGGATGGGATATAAGGCAGGAGAAGTGGGAAGAGAAGCAGAAAATTGTAGCTGGAGTCAGATGTGCTGGGAGTAAAAGTGCAGGGAGGAATGGGAGAGGTCAGGCTGGGAGAAGACTGGAAGTCAGGACAGAGGTAGGAGATGAAGGAGAATGTAAGGACAGTTAGATAGGGAGCTGTGAGGTAAGGAAGGATGGATGGAGGTCAGGGAGGGGTGGAGAGGGAAATCTGTGAGGTTGGTGGACACTTAGAGGGTAAAGAGGGATAGGAAGGTGGGGAGAAGTGGAGGAGCATAAGGAGAAACCGGGACACTGTGGGAGGCAAATGACACAGGATGGTGAGATAGCCAGAGATTGAGTGTGAGAGGGACAGGAAGAGGTGAAACTGCAGGAAGAAGTATGGGGAACAATGGGAAGTGAAAGGTCACAGGAAGAACTGAGGTGGAGGAAGAAGTATGAGATGGAGGATGAAGGAGATGGAAGATGGTGGAAAGGACAATGAATACGAAGAGTGAGGTTGGGGAGGATGACAAGACTGAGCAGATCGTAGGAAGTGGAGGGTGAGGAAGGACAGGCAAATAGTGGGTGGTGTGGGGCATGGGAAGGATGGAGGACAGTGGGAAGTGGAGGATGAAGGAAGTGGACAAAATCGAAGAGGAAAACAAGCAGAGTGGAGGAAAAGATGGAGGGGAGATAGAGAAGAAGAGGAGGGACGAGGAAACACTGGGAGATGGACATGGATGACAGGAGGAACAGAGACACACTAAGGGGACAGAAGAAGACAAAGACTGGAGGGCAGTGGAGGAAGATGAATGAGGAAATGGGAAATGGATAAGCACAAAGAGGGACTGGAAATGTGGAGGTTAAGAAGGTAAAATTGGGTGACATTAGCAGTTGAAAGGATGGTGAAATAGTGGGAGGTGAGGGTGGAGAAGTTAAGGACATTAAGAGAGCAGAGAAGAAGAGAGAAGAGGATGAAGAAAGATGTAGAGAAGATGAGGAGGGGAGGAGGTTGAGGTGAAGGTGGGAACTAATGGAGAATAAGCAGTGATAAATTAATGGTAAGATGTAGAGGGCAGTGGTGGGGGGAGCTGAAGAAGACAGTGAAATGTTGACATGAATATGAAAGGAAAAGCTGGAGGCAAAGCAAGGCAAGGATGGATGGGGCAGGGTGAAGGGGAAGAAGGAAAAAACATGAGAAGAAGGTGGGGGTGAATGAAGCTAAGGAACAGGATGGGGTGAATGGAGGAGCAGGTTAGAGGGATGGGATCGAAGTGTGGCAGGAAAACTGGAGGGTGGGATATGGAAGGCAGTGGAGGAACAAAGGAAGGAGGGATGGGAGGTGGTGGGTGATGGAGGAGAACAAGGAGGGAGAGGATGCAGTGTAGGATGCAGGAGCACAAGAGGGTGGGAGGGGACATGGTGGGTAATGGAGGAGCACAGCAAGGCAGGGAGGGATGGGACACAGCTGATGACAGCACACTGGAAGGGGCGTGGAAGGAGGGATGGGATGTGAAGGAAGTGGGGGGAACAGGGGGGATTGGAGGTGGTGAGCGACAGTGGAGCACAAAGAAAGGACAGGACACAAAGGAGAGTGCAGGACAGGAAGGAGGGACAAGACATGGTGGCTGATGGATGAGCACAGAAAAGAAGGATGGGACCTGCTGGGTGATGGAGGTGGGTGGCAGGGAAGGATGGGACACAGTAGATCACTGCAAGGAAGGAGGGATGGGTGAACAACAGAGAAGCAGTAGAAGAAGGGTTGAGACATAAAAGAAGATACACAGGAGGGATGGGGTACGGTGGGAACAAGGGAAGGAGGAATGGGATGGAGTAGCACAGGAAGGAGGGCTGGGTTGGGTTAGGGTTGATGAAAGAGCACAATAAAGAGGGATGGAACATGGCAGATCAAAGATAAGGGATGAAAGAGATAGGACATGAAGGATGATGGAAGAGCCAAAGAAGGAGGGTGAGTTTTAGTGGGTGATGGAGGACCTCAGGGTGGAACAGTTTAATGGAATGAACCTGAGGGAAGGCTGGGACCGGCAGGTGGTCAGGGAATCACAGAATCATTAAGGTTGGAAACGATCTCTGAGATCATCAAGTCCAACTGAAGGGCACAAGGGCAGGGAGCCATGGGCAGCAGAGGAAGGGGGATGTGGGTGTGTGTGCAGGCTGGGGTGAGCTGCTGGGCAGGCTGGCATGGCACACGGCAGCTGTGACAAACACCAGCACCACAGGGACAATGCAGAGCTGAGGGCAGCCTGGTGACAGTGCTGGCAGTGAGGATCCACAAGGAGCCCTGCTGGTGTGGCACAGCTGGGGTCAGCACATGGGGACCGTGCCAGGGACAGACAGGTGGGTGAGGAGAGCATGGGACACCACGTGTGGGCTGGGCAGCAGGCAGGATGGCAGGAACAGAGGCACAGGATCAGGTCACCCCACACCTCCCTCTGCAGCAGCACTGCCCCAGACAGGACAGGCAGCACAGTCCCCCACCACAGCATGGGAAGGCAGCACCAAGGGTGGGGTGAGGGGTTGCAGGGCCTTTATTCATCACACAACAAGCAGGCATGACACAGGGGTGCAGGATGGGGTGGGCAGAGAGCCTGTCATCGGGGCAGGAGGTGCCCTTCATGCGACCTTGGCATGGGCTGGTGAGAGGAAGCAGGAGGACAGGGCAGGGGCAAACGGCTTTACCCAAAACACCTCAGGTTTCACCCCAGGCTGGGCACTGGCATGTGGACAGGGGCAGAATCACAGAGGGGCTGGAGTAGAATCAGCCACCTCCACATCTCAAGCAAATTTTCCCCACAAATTCCTTGCCAGCCTCATCTCAGCCCCCCTGGGAAATGCTCAGCACCGCTATTTACAGAGTAAGACAGAACTGACCAATATTACAAATAATTAAAAGGCAGTTTTAAAAATGAGAAACCACATTCCAAAAAAGTAGAGAGTCTTTTAAAAAAAAACCAAACCAAACCAAAACCCCGATTATCCATGAAAATGCTAAAAACCACCCCGAAAATATCTATGTACAGCAGGAGATTGCCTGTGGCAGTGCTGGACCCAACAACTCCGTGGCAGGCAGGGACACAGCCCAGCCCTGGCTGCTGGTGAGGGTGGGCAGCACCCAGCTGGGTGATGAGGGTGCCCCGGGGGCTGGCTGGGTGCTGCAGGAGCAAAAGGCCATGGGTAGTGGGCCTGCTGGGCCCTGGCTGATGCTGGTGTGTCCGGGGACACCGGCAGTGAGCGGCTGTCGCGGAGATGCTGACGGAGGCTGCGACGTGGCAGTGATGCAGCAGCTGCTGCGGGCAGGAGAGGGCAGCAGCCTCGGCAGCACCGGCAGTTCTTTAGAGAAACTGCGAGATGACAATGTGCAGAGGCCCTGGGAGTGGTGTACAGAGCTCCAGAGCGATGCACAGAGCCCTTGGAGTGGTGTACAGAGCTCCAGAGCAATGCACAGAGCCCTTGGAGTGGTGTACAGAGGTCCAGAGCGATGCACAGAGCCCTTGGAGTGGTGTACAGAGCTCCAGAGCGATGCACAGAGCCCGTGGAACAGCGTACAGAGCCCCTGGAGCACTGTACAGAGCCCCAGAGCAATGCAGAGCCCTTGGAGCAGTGGATGGAGCCCCTGGGGCAATGCAGAGCCCTTGGAGCCGTGCACAGAGCCCCCAGAACAAGGCGCACACAGCCCCAGAGCAATGCGTTGAGCCCCAGGCACCTGCAGGCAGCTCCATCTGGGTGAATCCCTGCCTGGCCCCTGGCAGGCGGCTGGAAAATAGGTCAGGCAGCTGCCTTAGAAATCTCTGTTCTCTGCTGGAGCTGCACAGGGGCACCAAGGCTGCTCTGAGTGGGACTGGGTCTCAGTGCCCCAGCCCCAGGAGCTCTGCAGTGCTGTGGGGGCTGTGGCTGCTGCCCCCTCCCTCCCTGGGTAAGGCTTTTTCTGGTGGTGACAGAGGGACGTGCGGCACAGACCACGGGCCACGCTGCAGCCTCCCAAACCACAATCTCTTAATCCAATTGGTGCCTCTCCAAAGTAGCTCATTTCGGTATTTTTAAAATGCACTTGGTTTTACATTGCAGGCTGTCCGGAGTTGGGCAGGGCCAGAAGTGGAGAAACGAAAAAAAAAAAGAGAAAAGAAAAAAAAAAGAGAAATATGTATATTCAGCACTTGGAGAAGAAATAACTACAAGTGGCCCCAAGCAGGGAGGTGGGTGCAAGGCAGGGGCACCACAACCCCTTGGGAGCAGGGGATGTGCACACACACACTCACAGAGGCACAGGCCACCTCTGCCCACGCTGTGCACCCAGTGATCCCCACCTGCAGCTGGAGGAGCCCGGGGACCACCCAGACCCCTGCCAGCAGCCAAGGGCCTCAGCAGCACCCCAAGAGCAGGAGGGTGGCCGAGGAGGGCCCCCAGCCAGCCCAGCCCGGGTGAGCACAGGGAGCCTCCCTCCTCCTTCCTGCCGGGGAAGCACACTCAGCCCGCGGCTGATGCAACCGCACAGCAATCGGGCAATGGGCCCGGGATGGGCAGGATGCTGCAGCCACAGCCAGCACCAGCACCCTCCATCCGCGGGGTGGCTGCAGCATCACCCCTACAGCGGCCCGGCCCTCCCTATCGACAGCAGCAGCCTCCCCTGGCTGCTCTCCCTTTCTCAGCCCTCGGCACAGCAGGGTCTCGCTGACACTCCCGGTGCGGTGGCACCAGCCAGGATGCCCCGGTGCCACCTCTGCACAGGCAGGAGGTGATGCAGCCACCCTGCCAGGGTGTCCCCGCACCCCGGGGCTACCTCTGGCTCCACATCTGCTTCGTAAGCGTCCCCGGGGCCGAGGGGACGTTTAGGAGACAGATGAGCCCGCACCGCCTCCTCCGCGAGGGGCCCCGCGGGCTCAGCGCGGGCGCTCTTCCGGCAGGACAGTGGATGGCAGGCACGCTGCGTCCCCCGGCCCCCCGTCCTCACTCACTCGAGGCCCCCGGCTTCTCCTCCGCCCTGGGGGGCTCCGCGGGGTGCAGTTTGCACTTGGAGGGGGAGTGGCGGACCGCGGAGCGGGACGGCCGGGCAAAGCACGAGGTGAGGGACTGGGAGCTGCAGTCACACGCCGTGTCCTGCAAAGATAGACAGGGCACAGCGGAGTTAGAGGGGTCAGGCACCCTGTCCCCCGCCACGGCGGGACACCCCGGGGGCCTCTGTGCCTCGTTACCTCGCTGGCTAGAGCCGAGATGAGGTCGGGGTCCCGCAGGGCTGCGTCCTTACTGCCCTGGCCAGGGGACGAGGGCTTGGGGTCCTCGCAGCTGCCCTGCTTGAGGACCTTCTTGTTCAAGACACGGGAGATATTTTCGTGGTGGGTGGCGGGGCTGGGGTGCTCGGCTCTCTTGCTCTCTTCCCCAGTCGCCTCCTTCTTCTCCTGGGGGGCAGTGGGGCTCTGTGCCCGCCCGCAGACATTCCTGAAGAACTCCTGCACGAGGCCGTACTTGGGTGCTTCGGGCTTGGCCCGGCTGCTCTCAGGGCAGCCCGGCTTCCAGATGGACTCGGTGCTGCCCGCGTGCTCCACCACGCTGAACAGGCTGGACAGGCCATCGTTGATGTTGCTGAGGACGGGGCTATCACGGGTGGTGGTGGAGCGGGCCCAGGCAGAGCCGTTCTGCTTGCTCTGGTGCAAGTTCCACAGGCTCCTGTCCTTGGAGGCATCCAGCTTGGAGGAAGACCTCCTCTGGAGCTTCGGAGAGCCGTATTTTGGGGAGCAGCACGGCCGCTCGATCCTGGAGTGGACCTTATCCAGGGAGGAGGAGATCTGCTTGCTGCGCACGGACACGAGGGAGGAGCTGCGCGGGGACCAGCTCTTGCCATGCATGCCGGCAGCACGGGGCAGGTCGGTCTGCAGGCCCACGCTCACCGTCTGGATGGTCTGTGTGCCCACGTGGGCCAGCCCCACGGTCTGGCTGGAGGTGCTTTTCACCTTCCTCTCGAGCGAGCTGGAGCGGATGGCCTGGCGCACGCAGTTGGTGATCTCCTTCATGTCGTCGCTCATGTTGCCGGAGATCTCCAGGTCGTGCAGCGAGGAGGGGAAGCGCGGCACCGGCGGCACCGCGCTCTCCCCTGTGCCACCATCCAGCAGCTCCTGCTGCTGCTTGGAGAAGTTGCACAGCCACTGGCTGTAGGTGCCCTCGGCGCTGGCCGACTCCTCCGGCTCCTTGGGCTTGGCCATGGTGAACAGGAATCCGGGCTCGATCATGATCTTGCCCTCCTTGTTGTGCACCAGCGGCGCCTCCAGCCGCCGCACCACTGGCGGGCTGTAGTAGATGCGGATCCCTGTCTTGTCGGGGGCCGTGTAGCTCCTCTGGATTTGTTTCTGAGCTGGGTCGTGCCCAGAGAGGCTGCTTGCCCGTGAGTAGTCCCAGGAGGAGATGCCCAGCTTCTCCTTGGCCAGGCTGTCGGGGACAGGTTGTTCGATATTCACATATGTACAGTTGGAGGGAGGGAGGCTGGCGCTGTCCCGGATCCCGTTGGGCAGCATCTGGGTGGTTGAGGATGACTTTTTGCACCGGGCATGGTCACCCAGCCCTGGCACGGTCTTTCCAGAGAGGTAGGGAGAACAGTCGAGCAAGCTTTCAAACTCTGACATGGAGGAAACAGACTTGGTCCTGTGGGAGGAGAGAGGATAGGGATCAAAACAGGGCAGGGAAGGGGATTGGGGACAGCTGAGACACACTGTTCCCACCCCAATGGGACCTTCCTGAGCACCCAGTCCTGCTCCTCACAGGGAGCCCTTTGCTTCCAGGACTATCATGGAACAGGGTTGCATCTCCCCTGTGACTCTCAGGGATGTCAAGCCCTCTGTGTTCCAGGGGCTATGGAGGCATCAGCACACTCACCTTTTGAGGTTGGTTCCCTTGGCTTCTGCTTCAGAGATTGTCTCCTTGTCTGTGATTTTCTCATTGAGAGCCTAGGAGGGCACAGGAGAAAGCTCCAGGGTCAGAAGGCACAGGACCAGGGCACAGAGATGGGCTGGGGCTCAGGGGCTGCATCCTGCTCCCCTCCAGCACCACCAGCTTCCCCACACACCGAGGCACAGCAGTCCCGAGACTGCTGGGACTGCATGGGGCTTGCTGCAACCACATCTATTTAAAATCAGCTTTTTATAACCTCACAGAAGCTCCTGGAGGTTCAGCCATGCCCTTCATGCTCACATTCTCCTGGTGTTCTCCCTTGCAGCCTCATTTGCTGTTTAAAGGGGTGTTAATTTGGGTTCATACATCCTCCAATCTAACCCTTAGCACAGATCTGGGCTCCAGGAGCATCCTGAAAGCACTCCACCCTCTCTTACCCACCTCTTTCCAGTTGCTGCCGTGCTTCTCCATTTCAGAGTGCTTCAATGCCCATGGATTGGATCCTTTCTGCAACTGGAGAATGTATTGGTCACTCAACAGGTGAAACATGAGCCTCTCTGGGCAAGCAAAAGCACGAAACATTCTTGAGGCAAGCAGCAGAGGCTGGAGGACACGTGCAGGATGGGGGACACCATACCTGGTTGAGTTTGTTCTGCAGGTCCTTCGCTTGCTGCTCTGCCTGCTGCTGCTCCTCCTTGAAGCGAGCCAGCAGCTCCACCTTCTCCTGGTTCCAGTTCTTCTCGCTGATCTGCAGCTGCTTGGTGAGGTCCATGACAGCGCTGTAGGACTCGGCCAGGAGATGCTGGTGCTCCTCACGCTCCCTCTTCAGTGCCACCTTCCAGTCTGGCAGCGCACGCTCTGCGATCCCTTTGCCTGCCTTTGACTCCAGCTGTGGGGACACAGTGGTGGCTGTGAGGGACCCAGGGCTCCAGTGTGGTGCTGGACATCTCCAGCAAACAGGCAGGGCTGCAGGCATCCCTCTTGCCAGTGCCAGTCCCATGCTGCCGGGTTGGGCAATAAGCATGTCCCCAAGGACGTGACACACACAACATGGCTTGCCCATGGCACAGCCAAGCCATGGCTTGCAGCCACAGCATGCCAGCTGGCCAGCAGATGGTCACCCAGCAGGACACAGGCTGAATGTCCTGTTTGCCTGGCTGTGCTCCTGCCTGCAGGACATGGCTCCTGGAGAGGGGCACCATCACCTGAGTGGCCCCCAAGGATGCAGCACCAGTGGGGGGGTGCCACCATAGCTGCTCTGCTTGCTTTTGAGGAGGAGATATGGGAACTGGGGACTTCTGCTCTGCCAGGAGAAATCCTGCCTGGAAAGTGCTGGGGAGCAGAGCTGATGTGCAGCCATGGGCTGCTGCCAGCACAGCATGAATGGAAACCTCTCAGCACTGGGAGGGCAGGGCTGAGGGACTGGTGAGACTCATCCTACAGGCAGGAGCTTCCCCCACTGCCCAGGCTGCCCTTCCTCCACCTCCTGCCTTCCCTGCAGCCCTGCATCCCTTCTGCAGCATCCACAGGGATCCTGTGCTGTGACTCAGGGTGGGGGAGAGGTGGGCTCTGATGCTGCTCTCAGCTGCCTGTCCTCAGGGGGGATGCTGAGCCCCTGTCCCATCCCACCCTCCCCAGACAGAGGAATAAAGAGCATCCTCTGCTGCTCCACAGGCAGATTTCCATGCCAGCCCCGTTGCCATGGAAACTCTCCTGCCTGAGTGGCTGCTAATTAAGATTCCCACAGTGCCACCCTGCTCCCAGCCCAGCGCTTGGCACAGGGCACAGGCAGGCCCCCAGCCCCCCAGCAGGCACGGGAGGGGGGGCTCTGCCAGCCCATGGGGTGCCCAGGGCTCCCACCTGGGCAATGTGGCACTTGAGCTCAGCACGCTCCATCTCCCAGGCAGCCTTGGCCTTGGTGAACTGCTGCTGCAGCTCGCTGGCACCGCGCCGCTCCTCCCGCAGCTCTGTGCACAGCTCCTTCAGGGTCACCTTCATGTCTGCCAGAGTCTTGATGCACTCGTTGGGCTGCAGGAGAACAGGGGTGAGCACAGGCAGCACGAGGGGATTCAACAGGGTGGGACTCTGTGGGAGCTGTCCTCTCTGCATCCCAGCCCTGCAGGCTGCTGCCAAGGTGAGGGACAGGGACCATCCCCACCCAGGCATACACCCCAAGAGGAGCCACCAGCCACAGCAGGGCCTGATCCTATCCTGATCCACCCCCTGGGCTCATGGGGACCCTGCTCACCGTGTTGGGGGTCCAGGTGTCCCCAGCACACATCTTGTTGTCTGCCTGTTGCTGTGGGGCTAGTTCCTCCTCTTCCAGCAGCAGGTACAGCTCCTTCATGCTGTTCACCTGTGGGTGACACCGTGGCTGGGGTGATATGGGGACCCACAGGCCCTGGGCAGGATGGGGGACACCCAAACAGCCCTGGGCAGGACAAAGAGCATGAGGGACACACCTAACAGTGTGGTCTCCCCTCCATGACAGCCCACTGTACCTCCAGAAAGTCCTCGCCCTCACTGTGCACCACTTTGCCCTGGCGCCAGCGCTTGAGGAACCACTTGAGCTTCATGAAGAGCAGGAGGAAGCTCTGCCTGAACTGCTGGGACTCCTGCACCAGCAGGTTCTTCTCCTGGCTCCAGAACTTCTGCTCCAGCCGCCTCTGCAGGTTGAGGCTCTGCAGCTCAAACTCCCGCCGCAGCAGTGCTTTCTGGTGGTCCTCCTTCAACTATGGAGAGATGAGTGGCTCCAGGACAAGCACTGGTGGCAGCCATGTGATGCTTCCCCCCCAGGGTCTGGGCTGAGCCTGGTGCCAGCCCCATATCCCCATCTGGGGGAGCTTCACCACTCTGGGAACATGCTGGGGACGGGGGAAGCCCTGCATGGCTCCATGTGCAAGGAGGAGTGTGCTCAGCCTTGAAAATGGGACATGGGCCTGGTGGCAGCCCCATATCCTCATCCAGGGGAGCTGCACCACTCTGGGAGCATGCTGGGGGGACAGCAGGGCCATGGGGGAAGCCCTGCATGGCTCCATGTGCAAGGAGCGTGCTCAGCCTTGAAAATGGGACATGCTGTGTGTGCTCCCAGGTGACACCCAGGTCCCCACGTGGGTCATAGGGCTGAGGCTGGAGGTGGCAGTGCCATGGGTTGAGGACAGCTGTCTCCCAGGGGGAGAGGCTGTTCCCTACTCACCTGACAGATCTTCTGTGAGAAGTTCTCCACCTCGTCCTTCCTCAGCTGCCTCTCCTGTGAGAGCTGCTCCTGCAGCCCCCGCAGGCTCTCGTTGGCCTCGGACAGCACCAGCTGCAGCTCCTTCATCTGTAACAGCCCCAGAAGGGGATGGCAAAGCTGCCCTGCACTTCCCTTGTCCCCAGCTCCCCAAAGCCTGTCCCACAGCCCTGTGGCTGAGGGGACACGGCTCCCAGGCTGTGCCATACCTCGGTGGCGTAGGAGTCGTTCTCCTCAGCCCGGCAGGGTTTGTAGCTCCGGGCATGGGCGGGGTCCGTGTCCTTGGCGTGGGGGATGCGGAAAGGGTCGGCGTCCCTAAAATCAGGCTGCTGCATGCGTGGGCAAGTTAATGAGAACAAACCAAAAGAGCGGGAAGGGGGAAAAAAAAAACAAAACAGAAAACAAAACAATGGGTCTCCGAAACAGTAAAGAACTACAAGACAACAAAAAGGATGAGGAGGAGAAGGAGCTTCATCACCATGGCAGGAGACAATGCGGAAACCAAAAGGAAACACAGGATGAGGAGACACGTGGCCTGGATAGTTTGGGGAAAGGGGAAAAAAGAGAGAAAGAGGGAAAAAATGTGCAAACACCAGTTACGGTGCCATGCAGTGACTGGGGGAGACTGGGACCTCGGGCTGGGGGGACCACATGCAGAACAATAGGACTCTGAACAAGGGAGTGTGCTCCAGAAAGGGGCTTGTGCCTGCAGCCCCAACCACCACTGACACCCCTGGCACGAGCTGGGACCCCTGAGGACAGTGGGACAGCAGGGCATGAGCTGCTCTGCACTGCTCCAAAGGTGTTCTCCCCTGGATGCAGATTTGCCCTGAAGCCTTTGCTCTCCAAATTACCCTGCCTGGGTGTTTCTGGGGATGGAGGATTCCTGCAAGTGGGGTCCCTGCAATTTGGGCTGCTTTCGAAGGCTGCAGACTGCTCTCCTCCCACCCAGCTCATCCCCAACAAGCAAAGAGCTTCTGAGACACAATGTTGGTCCAAGCCAGGCAGAGCAGCCAAAACATCAGTTCCTGCTAAGGTGGGATTGCACCTGAGAGCCCCTGGCCATGGGCAGGGCAGCCTTGGCACAACCAGCCTGTGCCAGGATGCCCACTGCCTCCTGCCCTGGGCACACTCTGTTGGAGCAGAGTCCTACCTTGTCCCCGGTGCCACTGGCATGCAGTGAGGTGTTAGTTTGGATTTTGCTCTGGAGAGGCAGGAGGGAGGTTACAGTGGGGATCAGGGTTTGCTCCATTAAAGCAGGAGGAAACGTGGTGGCAAATAAAGCGGCAGCTGCTGTGAGGGATGTGGGAAGAAGCCATACCTGGAAGTCAGAGGCATGCTCTTTGGTGACATCGTGGCTGCTGGGGCTGGAGAAGGGGAACGAGTCCGTGTGCTCCTTGAAGCCACTGGTGAGGTGGTCCACCTTCCTCACGAAGCAGCCCAGGTCCTGCTGGAGCACGCCCAGCCTCATCAGCAGCACGTTCATCAGCTTGGCATCGCTGGGGCTGTCACCACCGCTGCCCACCGCCTCTCCCAGCAGCACCCCCGCACACTCATTGTCCAAGCAAGCCTTCAGCCCCGCAGTGAACCCGTTGGCATCCGAAATCAACACGTCGATCGCTTTGCTGACCAGCGTCGCCTGGTCCCGGATGCCCAGCAAGGTCTCCAGGTCCTTGGGCTTGAGCAGTTTGGCAGGGCCATCGGGCACCTTCCCAGTGCCCAGCCCCCTGTCCTGCCCATCGGGCTCACTGCTGCCCACACCGTCCCTCCAGCCGGCGGTGGGCACGCACTGCGCCGAGTCGCCGGCCTCGGCGTCAGTCTCCAGCATGGGCCGGGTGCTCTGGCAGGAGGCCAGGTCGCAGCGCTGCAGGTTGGACAGCAGCACCCTGTTCTCGTATTGCAGCTTCTTCACCTTGCCGCTGAGCTCGCTGATCTGCACCTTGGCCGTGGCCAGCTCCTCCTGCGAGGGCTCGCTGACCACCGAGCAGCTGTCCTCCGACAGCGTCACGTCCAGCTCGTGCTCCGACTTGTACTTGCTCAGCTCGTTCAGGAGCAGCTTGTTCTGGTCCTCCAGCTCCAGCAGCGAGCGCCTCAGCAGCTCGGCCTCCTCCTCCACGAACTGCAGGTGCCGCCGCAGCTCGGCCACCGTGTCCCCCGCGTCCCCGGAGACGCCCGCCAGGAACCGCGCGTCCTGCCCCGGCAGCTCCCTGTCCCCCTGGCCCTTCATGTCGTCCATCTCCGCCCGCAGCCCGCGGTTCTCCACCTCCAGCTCCACTATCCTCCTGCTCAGGATGTTGGCTTCCTCCTCCACCAGCTTGAGGTGGACCTTCAGCTCGGCCTCGCGGGAATGGGGGGAGTCAGCCAGCTCCTCCACAGACAGGGAGCTGTCCAGGTCACCGTAGAGGGACCTGTACTTCAGCAGCTCCTCCTTCATGCCATCGTTCTCCTTGGCCAGCTTGGTCAGCTTCTTGCACATCAGGGCTGACTCCTCCTTGGCAAAATGCAGCTGGCACTTCAGGTCTGCGCTGTCCTCCTGGGGACCCAGAGGGGGTGGGTGTTAGAAAGACGCTCCCAGGAACCATGGTGATCCCCAGAGAGCCCTGGGGATGTGCCACCTGTCGCAGACATCTTTTAAGAAAAATCCTTTCCTTAGGATTTTTCCTCCTGAGAAGCTGAGAGGCCTCAGGAACAAAATGTAAACATTGATTATCTGCTGTGGAATGCAACAGGTAAATCTTTGACTGGCCCATGTTGGATGTTTGTAATTAATGGCCAATCACAGTCAGCTGGCTCAGATAGAGAGCTGAGCCACAAACCTTTGTTATCATTCTTTGCTATTCTATTCTTTGCTAACCTTCTGATGAAATCCTTTCTTCTATTCTTTTAGTATAGTTTTAATGTAATATAGATTATAAAATAATAAATCAGCCTTCTGAAACATAGAATCAGATTCTCGTCTCTTCCCTCATCCAAGAACCCCTGTGAACACCGTCACAGCCACCCTCCCATGCCAGTCATCCCAGGGAAGCTGCTGGCTCTGCTCCTGGAGGAGGAAAAGCTTTGAGATCCATCCTGGAGACTTTCAGGGCGAGCCTGGAGATGGGACAGGATGCCCTGGATGAGGAGACCTTGGGGTCTTGCCCCAAGAAGGACATTGAGCCACTACCAGGGATGTGTGGACCAAGTCCAGCCTGATCCACAACAGGGCAGAGGGGAAGGGAAAGGTCTCAGGACTCCACAGGGTTTTTAAGGCTTCCTCCCCAAAACAGCCACTGAAATGCCCTCATCAGGGCTCTGCTTCTCTTGCTCAGCCTCCACTCTCATCACAGGGCAGAGAAGCAGCTGAAAACCTCTCAAAGTCCCAACCCCCAGCCTTGCTGCCACCACCTTGCCAGGGCACTGAAAACCCAGGCAAAGCCTCAGCACCAGTTCACCAGTCCCTTCCCAAGGCCCTCTGCTTCCCAGGACCGTTTCTCCATGTGTTCTTTTTTTATTCAGCAGTTAGGCTCTTGGCTGTCTGCCCAGACAGACCGTTTCTCTGCTCTGGGAGCTTTTTGGATGGAGGACCAGGATTTCCTGACGTCCAGCTCGCAGCTTCCCGTGCCCTGGGGTCACCTGAGTGCTCTGAGCTGTGTTGTGGTCACTGCCAGGAGGGGACTGGCTGGACTGTGCCTCTCAGCTCACTGCACCCACTGCAGTTGGGCAGTGCTGGAGATGCCCAAGCCCAGTGGCTGGGCGGCTGCTGGCCCTGGTACCCCTCTGCCTGGCTGAACTCACCCCCTTTCCCCCTTTCTTGCTGGAAAAAACAAGCTGCCCCCTTCTCTGGGTGCTCTGCACCCCCAGCCACACCCATGCTCATCCCAAACCCCACAGCAGTATTTACTCTGCTGACTTCCTGCACTGCTCATAACAAGGCCAGGGGTGATGGAAAGGGGGTTCCCATGAGTTTGGGGTGCCATTTATTCCCTAAATGTCCTGCAGTGACCACGGGAACCACCCTGCTGCACTTCCATGCTTGTGCACCGGGACACGACCTCACTAAGGAGCATTAAAGCTGTGCCCCCCTAATTAGGTGAGGAGATTAGGGGAGGGCTGCTGTGGGCAGGGCAGACATGACCTCAGTTCCTGTTTTTCCAGGGGGAAAAAAAAAAGCAGCAACCCAGTGTGTCCCTCTATGGCATCAGCAAAGAGACACACACAGGTCCCCAAGACCACCTGGAGTGCTCCTGGGGTCTGGGGAGATGTCAGTGTTGAGTTTGTCCCCTCCCAGCTCCATTTTTGGGGAGTGCTGAAGCTCAGCCAGCACAGCCAGGCAGGAAAGGGGCCCAGGAAGCCACAGATGAGTCACAGCATCTGTGCCACAGGGCCACCAGCCACAGCTGAGCAGGGACAGGGAGCCCATGGGGGCCACATCCAGGGGCATCTGCACCCACCTGGGGAAGCCCAGAGTTCCTGGAACACTGGTCCAAGCAGAATTGGGGCCACTCTGACCCCAAGATGAAGGGCCTTAGTTCCATGGGGAAGCAGAGGGGGCTGGGGTTGTTTCCTGCCACAGGAGGAGGCAGATGAGGGGCTCAGCTTCAGGAAAGGGGTGATGGAGGAGCTCCCTCAGCTCAGGGCAGAGCTGGCTGTAAGTGCTCTCTGGGGAACTGAGGGGAAGGATGCTGGGACCATCAACTGGCCAGAAAGGGCTCTGAAGAATGGAGTTAAAGGGAGATGATAAATAAGGACTGGAAGGGAAAGTCTTTGAGGGCCTGGGGGTCTCTGTCCTGTGGCTGCACAGAAGGGCCTGTGCCAAGAAGGACACAGGTCACCCAAACGCCTTGGGCTGCTCAGGGCTCCTGCTGGCAGACACTCAGCAGCATGTCAGGCGTGTCTTTCCATGGTCTGCCTCCATGTCCCAGCTTTGGGGGAGCAGATCTGTTCCCCAAAATAAACCCTTCAGTTCTGTTGCCTTTGAAAGAGGATTTCTCCTCCTGCCTTTCTATCCCTGCAACAGCAGCTCTGCCTCTCCAAGCCCTGGTAACAGCATTAGTGAGTCACAGCAGCTCAGCTCAACAGCAAGTGACAGCTGAAATCCTGCTGCCACCAGCAAATCCCCTGAGAGGGCAGGAGTGCTGTGGCCTCCAGCCATCCCCACAGGGACCCTCTGCTCCCCCAGACCCTGTGAAGCTCCCAGGGCACCCTGAAACACAGCTGGAGGCACACAGGCTGCAAGAGCCACAGGAGCAGGAGCAACTTTGCAATGTCAAAGCCAAACTCCTTCAGCTCCTTACACAGGGAAAGGGTTAAAGCCACTGCTGCTCCATTGATAAATGAGACAAGGGAGTGAGTGAGGACAAAGAGGATGGCCCAGCACATCAATCCCTCCCTTATGCAGGGGCTCTGAGAGGCAGCAAAGCCCTGCAAGGGGGGGATGGCACTGCCATGCTCGGATTTGCTCCAGGTCTGGGCTCAGTGTCCAGCTGGCACCATGAGCTGGGGGTTGGGGGTCACTGTGGCATGCCCTGGGTGCTCAGGTGATATTCTGGGTGCTCAGGTGGTACCCTGGGTGCTCAGGTGATACCCTGGGTGCTCAGGTGACACCCTGGGTGCTAAGGTGATACCCTTGGGTGCTCAGGTGCTGATACCTGCACAGATGGCTTCTTCTCAGTCTTGCCCAAGGAGCGAGAGCTCCGCTTCTTCAGGGAGTTCTGCAGGAAGAACAGAGAGTTATGATGGCTCTGCACCCCAGCAGTGACAGACAGACAGATTCAGTGTGCATGGACATTGGTGCTGACATTCCCAGGTGCTCCTGGACCCCAGGAGAACACCCTAGCCCTGGTGTTCCCTTTGCTTTGAGGCAGCTGGACTGGCAAGCATCACATCATGAGGTTTGGTCAGAAATTCCCCCTGCAGGCAAAGGAGCAGTGAAAAAGCAGGAGTGAGCAGGAAATGAGCCATGGAGAGTGGAGAGACTGAGTCACTGTCCCTGTCAGGGCTGCATGCAGCAGGGAATCCAGCCCCCAGGCCAAGGGACAGCTCTCAGGACATTCCAGTGTGGGAGCAGCAGATGATGACATTCCCCATCACCTCCCCAAGCAAGGGATATGTGCTGCTCCCTCAGCAGCATGATGCTGACTCTGATCTCAAGGTCACAAGGGGACACAAGGGACAATGTCCAGGCTAGTGAGGACAGCTGGGAGGTGGGGAAGGCAGGCAGAGCAATAAGGCAGAGCAAAAACATGGTAAAAATGGAGGTGCCCAGAGCAGAGCCAGTTATCTGGGGAAGGGAGCTGGGACAAGACCCTCAAGAACATGCACAGAGCCGCCCATGAGTGCTGGCTGATCCATGCAGCTGCCCTGAACCTCTTTCCAAGCTGGTGCTGAGGCCCCCAGCCAGAGAAAGCAGCTGTGAAATGTAAGCTGCTGCCTGTGCCAAGGTGCAGGGCTCCAGGCTTTCCTATTAAGGCCACGACCATGCCTGGAGCTGCTGGAGCTGCAGAGCCTCTCCCAGGGGCTGCTGGTGCCACATCACATCCCTCACCCACACCCTGCTGGGGACTGCAGCAGGCAAAGGGCAGCTCCAAGGAGCCCCAGGCACAGCACCCTGGGGCAGATGTGGCTGTCACTGCTCCACCCTGGGGTGCCCTCAAAGCCAAGCTTGGTGTGGCAGGCTTGGCATGGGGTACCCAGATTGATCCCACTTTTTCTGACCCCTTTAGGAGACAGGAGAGGGGAAAATGCCTGTGCCTTTGGGAATGATCCCCTAAAATTATCCAATTATGGGAGAAACCTCTTGGAAGGGAGGGATAATCAGCCCCTAGGGGTGAGTGCAGCCCTGCACAGTCCCTGGCTCTGACTGCTAACAAGCTCTGCCAGGCTCTGTGCCCTGCAGCAGCAGGGAGGAGGAGGGCTTTTAGCTCACTTTGTCTCATGTTTGCCTAATTAGCACTCTGCAATCAGCCAGTAACCCCAACGCCCTTGCTAGCCTGGGGGTGTGCCATGCTGAGCTTGGGGACCATCTCTGAGCCAGCAGTGTCCCCAGGGCTCAGGCAGCTGCAGGAGGGGCTGTGTCCCACCCCAGCCCCTTCAGCAGTGCCTGCCTCTCAGAGCTCCCCACAGAACCACTTCCCCTGCCTGTTTTCCAGTGAGCGAGAGCTCCAGCCCAGCTCCCAGTGCTGCCATTTGTTATTCAGCCCAGCTCCCAGCTGCAGGGAAACCCATTTCACGGCTGTTAGCAGGGCTGTGCAAGGCACCAGTGTGGGGGATGCTGCTGAGTGTCACCAGCACGGCCATGGCTGACAGGGGATGGCTGCAGCTGGATCCTGCAGCCTCCCAGGAGCTGGGCTTTTAGCAGGGATGGCCCCAGAGATGCCGAGCTGCCTGTGCAGGAAGCACAGTGGGGAAGTGAGAGCCTTCCCTTGGCTGTGCCTCCCCCTCCACACTGCCCTGAGGCTCAGCCAGAGCCATCCCGAGGCTCCCCGGGGACCAAAGGCATCCTGGGCAGTAGGGAAGTGGGTTACAAGGGCTCTGCAATGGATCTCAAGTCCATGCTGTCACCAGGATGCCTTTCCTGTCACTGAGATTGACACAGATCCCAGCCAGAAGCTGGTTGCAAACAGAGCGTGACATGGAGTGCCCTGGACCTGTGCATGTGGGTACATTTGTGACTGCCCAGGGCACAGAGGGGATTGTGCAGCCACCCAGCTCCACAGCAGCACTGGGACACTGCTGGCACCTGCAGGATGCAGCCAGCACCAGGCACTCTGCCAGGGACAGGGACCCCACACATCATTTGGAGCTTTGCCCAGATGGAATTTGGCATGGCCCAGGGGCCTGGGCTGAGCAAGTGGCCAGGGACATATAAAGTGTCCCCAGAGCAGTGGGGAAGTCCCAGAGCCCCCCCTGGCTGGGGCAGAGCCAGCAGGGTGGGATGGAGCACGCCGAGGGCAGGTGCTGCTTGGGTTTCACAAGCATCTGTAGCACGGTTTGGGTTTCAGTGACTCAGGCAGGGCTGGGGGATCCCATGATGCAGGGCCAGGACACCTGCTATGAGCAGAGCCTTGGGGACACCTCCTGGTCCCACTCACCTCTCTGAGCTTGTCCATCTCGTTCTGCACCACCTGCTTGGCCAGCTCTGTCTCGATGAGCCGCTGGCGCAGCTCCTCGTTCTCCTCCTCCAGCCGGATCCTCTTCTTCTCCACCACCTCCAGCTCATTGTGGAGCCGCACTGAGACGTCCTTGGCCACCTGGGGACACAGCAGGGCTCTCACCAGACTGGGCACAGTGTGCAGGGGGCTGAGACTCCAGCTCCTGGGCACCCACAGTCCTCATGAGGAGATCACCAGGCAGTTACTCCTCAGGGGGAGGTACTGGTCCTTGTGTCTGGCCCTGCTGTGACTGCTCTTGTTCCTTCACCAGCTGCAAGGCTGCCCTGCATCCCCATCCCCTGGCCAAATCCTGCCTTCCCCAGCCCTAGCATGATGCTGGGAGACATTAATCACCTTTTTCCCATAGCACAAAGCTGGAGAAGCCCCCAGCAGGCTGGAAGAGCTGGTAGGCAGCAGCAGAGCAGGCAGCCTGTCGCTGCAGGCAGCAGCTGTGCTGGCCAGGAGAAAGAGGAGCTGCTGCATCACATTACAGAAAAACCAGCAGCTGCCCCAGGGTGAAGAGTGCCTACATCACTCCCAGAGCTCCCACTCTCCAGATCCCTGCACAGGAGCAGTCCCCAGCATAAAGGGAGCTTAATAACACAAAACATTCACTCCTGCATTTGCAGGACAGCAAAACTTGTCCCAAACGCCACTGGTCTCTTGCACAGCCTGGGATATGAGCACTGTGGAGGTGTCCCAAATGCCACTGCTCTCCTGCACAGCCTGGGATATGAGCACTGTGGAGGCAGCAGCAAGCCCTGCTGCAGGATCCCAGGCCATGGGGCTGGGCTCTGCTCCCCCGAGGATGGGCTGTGCTTTCTTTCCCAGAAAGGGAGAAGCTGGAGGGGTGTTTCTGGCAGCAGCCACCCAAGCTGGGGGGGAGCTGATGGGTGGTTTGGGGAGGGGATTGGGGCCCCAGCAGGGATGGGCAGCGAGGAGGGTTCACAGCCCAGCACTTGTGGCACGTCTTGGCTCCAGGACTGGCTGTTTTCTGCTCAAAAAACAAAGTCAGTCCTCGAGCTGTTGCACATCCATCCCGAGCTGTCTCTGAGTGCCACCGCACCCCCTCTTGGCAGCAGGCTCGCTGGTGAGAGCCCTCAGCAAACACTCACCAGGCTCCTGGAGGGCGAAGCAACGTCACCCTGCAGAAATCCTCCTGTCCCTGCCCCAGCCCCACGTGCCACCATGCCTGGGGCTCTGCAAGGTTTTCCTGAAGGCCGAGAGAAGCAGCTCCCAAGCCTGCAGGGTCCTGGTCCCTGCAGTGGTGGCCCCATCACATCCCCACAGGAGCAGGACAAGGCAGCTCAGCCCCAAGGCACAGGGCTGGGCTGGGCTCCAGCCTGCCCAGGATGAGCCTCACATATTTCAGGCAGTTTCAGGCACATTCTCAGGCAGTGCTGGCCCTCTCCACCACCAGGACCCCCTCAGACCTGTGAGCTGAAAGCACTGCTCCCTACTTCCCACATCAACACTGCTAGCAGGGAATTGTAACGCCTCCAACCAAACTGCACATCACAAACTGCACATCCTCACAGAGCTCCCTGCGCCCTGACATTCCCTGCCCACAACTCAGCAAAACCCCCTTGTGGGGGGTGTCTGGGTGGGGAGGAGCCCTCCCAGGCTGACCTTGACGTCCTGCTCGAGGCTGTGGATGAGCTCTCCATCCACCTGGCCGGTCTGTGCCACGCGCAGGCTGCGGCGCTCGGCCTTGCGCAGCCGGTACTGCAGGATGCGGCACGTCTTGCTGGCCTGGTCCAGCTGCTGCCTCAGCTCCTGCAGCTGGTACACGTCCTCCTCCATGTAGACATCCCGCATCTCCAGCATCTCGGCGCGCAGCTCCTCGATCTCATCCTGCAGGGAGATGGTGGGTTAGACCCTGCGGCTTGCTCTGCTTGCTTTTTGCCTGTGATACCTCCCCACCATGGCTCTCCATCATCCA